AAAAGCTCTCAGTCCTGGTGCTACTGGATCTAAGCGCAGCCTTTGATACAGTAGACCAAGCTATTCTTTTAAACAGACTGAAAAACATGGTGGGCCTCTCTGGTGCTGTACACAACTGGTTCACTTCCTGTCTCTCAGACAGAACTTTTATGGTGAGTATGGATACATGCTCCTCTAAGATCCATAAAATGACATGCAGTGTGCCTCAAGGGTCGGTTTTAGGCCCTGTACTTTTTAATTTGTATATGCTCCCTCTTGGCGGTGTCATCAGGAGGCATGGAGTGAACATCCACACTTACGCTGATGACACTCAGCTGTACATCTCCGTGTTTCCTGATGACACCAGACCAATGGATTCCCTTTCTAACTGTATTCTAGATATAAAATCTTGGATGGCAGAAAACTTTTTACAGCTTAACCAGGACAAAACTGAAGTTTTAATCATCGGTCCTGGGGCTCAGAGAGAGAAACTCTTGTCTAAATTACAGGCATTTTCACTATGCCCTTAACTACAAGTGAAAAACCTAGGTGTTACTTTTGATTCTGAGCTTGGTTTTATCCCACATATTAAACATGTAACCAAAATTGGATTTTATCATCTAAAAAATATAGCCAGAGTCCGCCCTATTCTCTCTCGGACCAACACGGAGATGTTGATGCTTTTATTACCAGTCGCATTGATTACTGTAATGCCCTGCTCTCTGGTCTCCCCAAAAATAATATTTCACCTTTACAACTTTTACAAAACTTTGCAGCTCGTGTGCTGACGAAGACCAGAGGGCGGGCCCACATTACACCAGTTTTAGAATCGCTGCATTGGCTCCCCGTGTGTTTCAGGATCGATTTTAAAGTTCTTTTATTGGTTTTTAAATGTCTTAATCGTCTTGGGCCTTCTTATCTCTCAGATTTGCTTTTACCATATGAACCCTCGCGGACCCTGAGGTCCTCTGCCACTGGCCTTTTGATTGTCCCTAAATTCAGGACACATGCTCATGGAGAGGCAGCTTTTCAGTGGTATTGTCCTTGTCTGTGGAACAGCCTGCCAGAGGAGCTCAGGGCCGCAGAGAACGTACATGTTTT